TCCAAGAGGTACTAACTGTTCTCTGTGCTCCCCAAAGCACTGGGCTTCAGAGATCTGTCCACCACGGGAGGTTTGGAGGGCACAGTCCCCGCTGCCGGGCCTGCTGGGTGAACTGGAGAGGCCGGAACCTTTGGGGTCACATCTGTCGGGGGCTTCTCCACGCCAGGGATGAGGGGTCCATCCTCAGCCTGTGGCTCTGGCTTCCCAAACTCCTGCACGATCCTCAGGCGCTCCTTCTCCAGCTCCTGCTGCCGGATCATCTCCTCGAAGGCGTGGAACTGCTCCTGCTCTGCCTGCTGCTGCTTCATCAGGGCCACGCGGGTCTTCTCCTCCTCCAGCTGCTGCTGCAAGGCCACAGGGAGTGCAAATTACTCCTCCTGCTGCACCAGGAGCAGGGACAGGGAGGGGGGCACCAGCCCAGGGCAGACCCCCAGCCGTTCCCACGTTATTCCTAAAGGCCACCAGCAAACCAGAAAATTTCCTTGGGAAATGTTGTGCGAGGAGATTTCAGCGTGTAAGGCACAGATCCAGAGCCAGCTGCACCAAGGGCAGGAAAAACCACAGCTTTACCCTCCCTTCTCCATGGAATTACAGTCCCAGGCTGATTTCCCTCCATGCTCCAAAGTCCAGAGCCAAACTGACTGCAGAGGTGACTCTGGCTGCTTTGCCCACTGATCCTGGGCTTGTGGTGGAATTACAACCTCTACACCTTTCCCATTTTAAATTGAAATTTTGCACCACACTTTTCATCACGTGGTGCTTTACGTTTGTGAGGCAAAGAGAACACACCAAGCACACAGCCCAGGCTGGCTGGGGATGCACAGAGGGCAGAGCCAGGGCACAGATCCTGGGGTTGTGAGGGAATTACAACCCCTACACCTTTCCCATTTTAAATCGAAATTTTGCACCACACTTTTCATCACGTGGTGCTTTACTTTTGTGAGGCAGAGAGAACACACCAAGCACACAGCTCAGGCTGGCTGAGGATGCACAGAGGGCAGAGGAAGGGCACAGATCCTGGGGTTGTGATGGAATTTTACAACCCCTACACCCTTCCCCTTTTAAAATTGAATTTTTGCACCACATTCCTCATCACGTGGTGCTTTCCTTTCATGGGGCAGAGAGAACACACCAAGCACACAGCCCAGGGATGCACGGGGAGCAGAGCCAGGGCCACCACCTGGGACAGAGGCACCTGCAGTGCCATTGGGGCCACCCAGCCTGGACATTTGCCCCAGGGAGCCCTGCAAGGCTGAGGGGCTGCAGGGGGCAGAGCTGCAGCCTGTGCTGTCACTCACCTCCTGCTCCTTGTACTTAGCATAGTCCTGGGCGTACCTCTTTAGCAGCTCCTCCTTCAGCTCCTCGGCCTTGGGAAAGGCCACTTCCTTCAGTTGCTGCGGGAGGAAACTCAGCATCAGCCCGGGGCAGCCCCAGGGCGAGGGGGAACAAACCCTGAGCAGCTGGGGAGCCCAAAAAGCAGCACCAGGATCACTGGGGCAGTGCTGAGTGCTGACCTTTCCTCTTCTCTGGGGGCTGGGAGGGATCCCCAAGGATTCCCTTGGAGCAAGGAAAGCCACCAGCCAGCACTCATGGTGTTTGAAAAGCAGGGAGTGGAACAGGGAAGGAAGGACACCCCAGCTGGACAGCACCCAGTGTAACGGGGTGAGAACCCCCAAAGTGTAACTCTGGAGTTGTTCAGGTTGGAAACACCTCCAGATCACTGAGCTCAACCATTCCCCCAGCTGTCCACCACTAATCCATGGCCCCAGGTGCCTTGGAACACTTCCAGGGATGGTGGAAGCCATTGCCAGGACTGGACAATGCTTTTGGGGGGGAAATTCTCCCAATATCCAACTTAAACCTCCCCTGGTGCAACACGAGGCTGTTTCCCCTTATCCTGTCCCTGTTCCCCGGGAGCAGAGCCTGACCAGGAGCTGTGCAGAGCCAGAAGGACCCCCCAGATCCCCCTTTTTTCCCCCTCTGAGCCCCTCCCAGCCCCCTGGGCTCCATCTCTGGGCACGCTCCAGCCCCACAATGGATCCCACGGCGTGAGGGGCCCAGAACTGAACTGCCGAGGGCTCAGCACGGCCTGGCCAAGCCAAGGCTCCTCCATTTGTGAGGATCACTGACCCAGAGGCAGGGAAGGCCCAGGGATGACCCTGACCACGGCCCCACTCACTTTGACCGTCTCCCTCTTCTCAGGGATGACGGCGCTTTTGTAATCGCGGTGCTGCGGCAGCTTCTCGATGAAGAGCCTGGAAAGGGGACAGAACCCGCGGGTCAGGACGCTCTGGGGGGCTCTGGGGGACCCCTGTGCTCCCTCGGGCTGGCTGCAGGAAGGCTCCATCCCACAGCAGCCCCTGGAGCCCTGCATGGCACCCAGAGCTCATCAGCCCCACGGGAGAGCCCCACACAGGCTCTGCCTGCAGCTGGACAAACATTTCTGTGGGGAAGGGAACCATCAACACATTTCTGTGGGGAAGGGAACCATCAATACATTTCTGTGGGGAAGGGAACCATCAATACATTTCTGTGGGGAAAGGAACCATCAATACATTTCTATTGGGAAGGGAACCATCAATACATTTCTGTGGGGAAGGGAACCATCAATACATTTCTGTGGGGAAGGGAACCATCAATACATTTCTGT